AGCTACTGATATTGCATTAACCTTATCTTTATGACCTTTGAGTGTCCCAACATACTCAAATGTATCAGAATCCAGTAGTATAATGGATTCATAAGAGGCATAAGCAAAAATGTTAGACTCTACGCACAATGAGGCACAACCAGAGTACCAATTTGGTGAAGGAGGTAAATAACGAACAAATTTCATAATTTTTTTGATTATTTATATAAAGAAAATCAATATTTTTATAGATCTTGTGATTATATCACGTCTCATGTTAATTGGACTGAAAACATTCGATCAACAAGTCATAGATGGGATAATTATAATGATGAAAGGTCTCACGTTTAAATCATTAAAGTTTTAGCAACATGACGAATGATGCTCTTCTCTGCTTGTTGGCATCAAAAAAACGAAGAACAAAAAATTTATAACGACAATAATAAAATAAATAGTCAACCCCACTAATCCGAAAACTCCGTTAAGATGAATTCTTTTTAAAGCACAAGACCAAAATCACATAATAATAATGAAAATTCACTCCTTCAAACTAATTACCGTTACCGAAGATTTTTTTGTGGATTAAACTTACCAAGACTAAACAATTCATGAACATATTAATGATACGATTTTGATTTTTTTGATTTATGGTCGTCAGCTTCTGGTTCGTCACCATCATCGTCATCATCGTCATCGTAATCATCGTCATATTGTAAATATTTTCTTTTAGATGATGATGACTCTATTAATATTAATAATTATAATTATAATTAATTATTGTTAGATTAATATAATAATAATAACTATTCCGGGATCATTTAATATTATTTTACCATTATTTGTCAGCGGCATCCTGAATTCACTAACAAACAAACAAAATTAATTAGTCGATAGTTATAAACAATATAACACAATAAATACAACGCATACACTCTTTGATCATCAGGATTTTTTAAGTTTACAGGTGGGTGTGACATCGGAGAGAAGGAAGGACCTATTTCTAGGCATTTTAAAAAATGCCTAGCGTAACAAATGACTGATATTTCTCTTTTACATTTTAGGCATTTGGTTTTTTCTTTTATTGATTTTAGGCTTCTGACTTCCTGACCGAAAACGTCGTATCCTCTTTTGTCTAAAAGAATTAAAGGATTACTTTGATTTACGTATTATTAGTATTAGATTTTTTTCGTTAAAAAATTATTCTAAATTATCGAAATCGAACGCATCAAGGATTAACAAAAATTACCCAGGATCCAATTCATCAAGTTCATTCGTTATGATAAACTTTGATTTTTTTTCTTCGTTATGTACCTCTAGCATAATATCAGCTACACATTCATCGAGTAAATCTTGTAATATGTCTTTCGCCTACACAATATATACATGTTAGGATTTTTCGAATAAAAAATAGTGTGATTAAAAAAGTCATCGGGTCTTTGAAGCAGGTATTGATTGCAAAATATACCAATTGATTTATTAAAGCCGATGATGATGATGTAGGAGGAGGAGAGGAAGGAGAGGAAGGAGAGGAAGAAGAAGAAGAAGATTGTGGAGAGGAGGAGAAAAGTGAAGACGGATAAGATGATGTTAGTGAGAAAGAAGAAGAAGAAGAAACTTGTGAAGATGGTTGAGATTGAGATGATGAAAATGATGATGGTGGTGGCAAAGATGAATGATTTTCTATTATTTGATGGAAAATCAAAAAAATCAAAATCGTATCATTAATATGTTCATGAATTGTTTAGTCTTGGTAAGTTTAATCCACAAAAAAATCTTCGGTAACGGTAATTAGTTTGAAGGAGTGAATTTTCATTATTATTATGTGATTTTGGTCTTGTGCTTTAAAAAGAATTCATCTTAACGGAGTTTTCGGATTAGTGGGGTTGACTATTTATTTTATTATTGTCGTTATAAATTTTTTGTTCTTCGTTTTTTTGATGCCAACAAGCAGAGAAGAGCATCATTCGTCATGTTGCTAAAACTTTAATGATTTAAACGTGAGACCTTTCATCATTATAATTATCCCATCTATGACTTGTTGATCGAATGTTTTCAGTCCAATTAACATGAGACGTGATATAATCACAAGATCTATAAAAATATTGATTTTCTTTATATAAATAATCAAAAAAATTATGAAATTTGTTCGTTATTTACCTCCTTCACCAAATTGGTACTCTGGTTGTGCCTCATTGTGCGTAGAGTCTAACATTTTTGCTTATGCCTCTTATGAATCCATTATACTACTGGATTCTGATACATTTGAGTATGTTGGGACACTCAAAGGTCATAAAGATAAGGTTAATGCAATATCAGTAGCTGGAAATAATTGCGCCTCCGGGAGTAATGATAAAACCATAAAATGTTGGAATATAACAACCAAAAAACCCATTCATTCAACAACTCTCAAGGTTTGATTTGTTATTTATGATAATCAAAAATTTTTATTGGTCTTATTATTATGTATTTATTTTGACTTGATGTTTCATAATTTTATATAGCATGATGTTTATGTAATATCTTGGACTAATGATAAAAAAACCATTGTATCAGGTAAATTAACATTATACAATATGTATTCTTGTTTGTTAGATTTAGATTAAGCAAGAAAACCAATCTTATTTATAAATTAGGAGGACATGTAGGTGAAATCTGTA